ATTTGTGTTTTACTATCTTGTATAATTTTTATTTATGGTAAGTATATAGAAATTGAAAATATATTTTATTTTTTTCCTTTTTCTTTTAAATTTAATTTTATGGAGAAAGAAGTAGCAATGAGACAGTTACAAAACAGGTTAGTAGGACAGCTACAATAATTAATACACTGCATATTGTTGTTTTCGTAGTAGTTATTCATAGTATAAGATGCAGATATGATATCTAAACGCTATTAGTACAAATCTTTCTTCTCATTGAGTTAAGAGAAAGTAGCTGCATATCTACCCTATTTTGTATATACAAATACAAAATGGGCCTTCATTTGTATCCCTCTTTTTGATTAGTTTTGTCTAGGTCTTGACCACCCAGCTGAAAAGTATAAACAAGTATAAAAAGTAAAGCCATATTAATATGCTGAGCTGTGAAAGACTCAAGTCAACAACTTCTGACATTGCCAGTCTTATGGATAACTAACTACTATTATGGACTCCTGGACTATATTGGATTATTTTGCTGAATTCACGCACCTACAGTATTTAAATAGCATATTTTCTTCACATTATTTAAAGAGGCCATATTTCTTCCAGTGTATGTTTTGGGCCCCTTTTCCAACAAATGAGTGCCTTGGTTTCTTTCTACTTCTTCTATTTTACTGATACACATGCTTGTTTTTATGCCAGTAACAATCTGGTTTTTTTTCCCCTTCAAAATTAGGGTAGCTTTGTAATATAATTTCAAATCTGGGGTTATGCTGTTTCCTGATTTGCTTCTTTTTAAATGCAGGATTGCTTTTGTTATTCTTACTCTCTTATAGTTTGATAAGAATTTTAGGATTGTTTTCTGAATTTCTGAAAAATCCTGTTGATTATTAATGGGATAGCATTATCTCTATATATCATATTTGGTAGTATAGCAATTATGAATATATTTGTTCTGCTTAATCAAGAACCTAGGCTATCTTTATGTTTCCTTTTTTTTTTTTTTTGTATTTTAGGGAAGGGTCTACAGGGTGTTCAGGGTCGCACTACTAGATTGGTGTTCAGGGTCTCACTACTAGATTGGACTCATAGTGATCAGCCTGTTTACAACTTCCTAAGAGCTGGGATTACAGGCACATGCCACCATGCCCAGTCTCAATTGCTGTCTCAGATTGTCCAGGGGATGGGGCTGGCATGGCAGGCCCAGGGATCGAACCTCCAGGCCCTGAGCCTGCTTGCAGGTGCTTTAATCTGATGAGGTAATAGGCCAGCCCCTTGGACTATCTTTCTGCTTGTTGACGTCATCTTTAGTTTTCTTTTTGAAAATATATTTTAAAATATATTGAAGTTACCACTCTTTATGAATGATTTTGTCTATAGTAGTATTGTCATATGTCTTTTTTTTTTTTTGGTGGAACCAGGGATTGAACTCAGGCCCTTGTGGTTGCCAGGGAAGCGCTTATTCCACTGAGCCATCTCTCCAGCCCCTGTCATATGTCTTTGAATAAGTATTAATGTACAGTGTATCTGATGCTGCTCAAATGTATTGTTCCTCTAAGACTGAGATTTGCTTTGCTGTCTTTTGAATCTGCTGCTGTAGTGGGTATTAATTTTTTTGCCTGTTTAATATATTCAACAAAAGCTTTAATGGAATTGTGGTTTTGTGTAGCAATTAAAATAATGCCTGGATTTTAATCCTGACTTTACTAGTTATAGGACTCTGGGAAGTTGCTTCTTTGTTATTGCAGTTTCCTCTTGAGGATAGTAATGGGATAGTAATGAGGTTGTTTTGGCCTTACAACAGTTAATATATATATAAAGGAATTAATATACTGATTTATTGTCTGGTAATATCTAAGTATTACTCCCCCTACTGCAGTTGTTACTGTGTTAGGTCTTCTCTGGATACATTTTTCTATAATTACCTTTCTAATAGTATTTCCTTCCCTGATTTATTATTTTTTTCATTACCTAATCAAACATATTGTATGTTCTTTATTCACCTACTGTTAAAGTTCCCCCCTAATAGAATGTAAGCTTCATGAGATCAGTTGCTAGGTAGGGATTTATTCCTAGCACCTAGAAAAGTGCCTGGTTATATTCTCTATAAATGTATTATGAGTGATTTGTATATTGAATTGTATGCCAGACATTGGCTAGATATTGAAGATGTAGAAAATGAACAAAGTGTGAAATTCAGTTTTTGAGAAAAGCATATGTAATTATAACAGTGGGCTCATACTAGTAAAATTATAATAATTTCACCCTCTAGGTTGTTGGTATTATTCAGGGGATGGTTTTACAAATGGTGTTCTTGAACTGGACATCTGATTCATGTAAGAGACAAAGGGAAGTGTTTGCAGGCAGAGGTAAAAAATTACAGAGTTTGACAGTTTGGGCAATCACTTGTAATATAGAATAATAACAATGTAGATAAATGGGTTATAGAGGGAAATAGGGTAGCAGTTAAAGATGTCTAGAAGTCTTGCTCTTGACTATACAGAAGCAGTGAAATTTGGAGATTCAGTTAAATGAAAGCTTATGTAGAACAAATTTTAGTTCTGAATATTTTTATGAAAGTATTTCATTATAGATTATTATAAAAAAACTATAAATACTTGATTTTTAATGTAGTAACTACAATATTTTAGAAATATATACAAAATATAGGTAATTGTCTTAGTTATTTTTCCATGGCTGAGACACAATACCTGACACTCGCAAATTAAAGGAGGAATGGTTGATTTCAGCTCACAGTTTGTTGAGATTTCAGTCTATTATGGGCTGGCTCCAAGGCAGGGTGGCATGGCAGACAGAAAGCAGCAAGCAGCAACAGCAAGTCTGCCTTTTTCTGTCCCTTTATAGCCCGCCCAGGCTACAAGCCTGTTGATTGGTGCCACCCATATGCTGGTTGGTACTCCATTGTCCACCTCCTTAATCCACATTCACACACCCTAACCCAGCCACCTTACAGACTCCAGCCATGACTGACAAGGCTTTGGCAGAACATCTAGGTACAAGCCACAGCAGCATTCAGTAGCTGTATATTTATAAAATTTTGACTTAAGAATATGTGCCATACTACATAAAACATGAAATTTACTTTTAATCCCTTCCTGTGGAAAAAACTGCCAGACTTTATAGTCTTTATTGTGGTACACAAACCCAAGAGATACTAAAGCATGTAGTTTTATTTAGAGGATACATGAAAAAAATAATATTTTGAATTACAGGATTTTAGAGATTGATAAGGCAGTCAAATTTGAGGAACCTTTTTTTTTTTAAATTTTTTATTTATTTTTTATTTGAGAGAGAGAGAGAGAGAGAGAGAGAGAGAGAGAGAGAGAGAGAGAGTGTGGTGTGTGTGTGTGGCCAGCTCAGCCCACCAGGGGGCGGGGCTGGCTGGCATGTGGTGCTGGGGGATTGAACCGCGGTCCCTGATGCTTTGCCAAGCTTGTTCTAAGTAGGTGCCTTAGACCACTGAGCCATCTCTCCAGCCCCTTGAGGAACCTTTTTATGTTGTACATTTCAGTGCAATTTAAAGTTAAAGTTGATAGTGGATTTTTAAAGCAAGCTCCTTTTACTTTTGCAAAAAGAGTAAAGGTCTTTTAAAGTTAGAACTTTTAATAATTTGTTAATAGATAAAAATATTTAGCAGTTTGTGTATTGTTTTCTTCTAGAGGTGGTGGTCCTTTCCAATACAGTAGAAACAAAATCACATTATCACAATAAATACAATTAATGAATCAGATTCTTGACATTAGTGTTTTTGTGAAGAAATCCATTTTCATCTGATAAAGCAAATTTACTTAGCGATTGGCTGAATTAACTCAATCATGCAATTCTGCATTATTGTATTAGCATCATAAAATTGATCCTAGTGGATTGGCCAGATAGGTCAGTGGACTAACCGGGATTTGATCCCTGGTGTGCTGTGCCAGCCCCATCCCCAAGGTGTGCTGAAATGGCGAATGAGACTAGGTATGGTGGTGCATGCCTGTAATTCCAGCACTTGAGAGGCTGAAAACAGGAGGATCACTATGAGTCTGATCTGTGTAGTGAGACTCTGTAGACCCTGTACTAAATACATTTTTAAAAAAAATTGTTTGTAGTCATTTAGAGTTAGGAGAGGGGTAGCTGTTATAATCTCACCTTTTTCTGCCATGATGCCTCATTACTATATATCCAAGCAAAAATGTATCAGGACAGAATTATTCTTAATGCACTTATTACATTGGATAGTATTCACCAGTGTTCATTTATTGAAGTGAATTATTATTATTATTTTTTGGCAGAACTGGGGATTGAACTCAGGCCCTTGCATTTGCCAGGGAAGCGCTTATTCCACTGAGCCATCTCCCCAGCCCCCTGAAGTGAATTATTGACATTGGTTAGTTTTCTATTCTTTTTTTGTCTTGTTTTGTTCATTGTTTTAATTTTTTTTTGCGGAGCTGGGGATTGAACTCAGGCCCTTGTGCTTGCCAGGGAAGCGCTTATTCTCCACTGAGCCATCTCCCTGGCACCATTGTTTTAATTTTTTTTAAAGGGGTAGCTAGTGTAAAGTACATTGCATTGGAATACACACAGATTTTATGGTGATACAAATCGCTTATTGGGAGATCATTTTCAAACTGAAAGTACAGTATAATGAACATTTTCAGTTTTAAACTAAATTTTTTGTTGTAACTAAAAAGTTGCATAGGCTGTGTACACTGCACATAAATACAAATCTATGATACAGAGGGTAGGAAAATGAGACTTAGGAGTTCATTTTTTTTAATCTTGCATGTAATATTACTCAGCATCTGAATAATATTTCCTAAAAACAATTTAGTGACATTAGGAACAGTCAACTGGCCAACATTTCATCAACCAAATTAAGAAATAATTTTTACTAATTCAATTTTCTTTCAGCATGTATTTGTGGTAGTGTCTATGGGGAATGGTGTTGTTGGGTGCTAGAATTTTGTAGTGGTAAAGAATATCAAGACAGTAACCCACCTCATTTTTTCTTTTTTAAGGAATTGCATTTTGTACAATCGAACAGAAGATTCTGCATGGATGATATTTAAGAGTACTTTTGCTGATGCTTCATTTCCAGTAAGACATTTTTCCTTTTTCTGTGTGGTAAAGTAAATAAAATGAAATAAAAAAAAAATTCAAGTTGTTTTTGTGAGCGTGAGTAGCAGTCATTTTAGAGTTTGTGTTGAGGTCTAATACATGGCCAGTAAGGGAGTTTGTAGAAGTTTGTTGAAGTGCATGATACTGTATAGTGGCAATTTCTGTGTGTGTCCTGACACTGTTGAGATAACTCCCGAATTGTTCATCTTTCATATTCTGTATTAATTGTTCTTTTCTTGATAGAGAAAAAAATATAAGGTAGGTCATCCATATTCAGTGTGACAATAAATAGGAACAAAAAGTTAGAGGACACGAATTGTACAACTTATAAAATTTTTAAGTGAAAGATGAAGTGTACAATTCAGCCATATCCTAGAAGAGGTGGAAAGAGTCAAAGAGAAAAATAAGCAATTTTAAGAGGCTCTTTAAAAGATGTGGATGTTTTAAGTGACTGAATTTGTTGCCTTAAATCTTAGGCTTTTATTTACATTAAACTGGAGTAGATTATTTTGATTAAAAGATTATTATTGGCCTAGTTTACTGTTTACAGTGTTCAGTTAAGTTTTGCAGTGTTCAGAAATATTCATAAGTGAAACCTCTTGTGCATTTCACTTTTTTACTGTGGGAAATAGCTATATTAATATGAGGTATTTTAAAAGTAATTAATTATGAAACATGTAAGAAGGGGAGATATTCCTCAATGTGTTAACAAAAATCGGCATTAATACTTTAAATATTAGTTGTTTTTCAACCTGATGATTATGTCAGTAAAAAACATGGGAAAGGTGTCTTAAAAATATTTGGGGTGGAACACTCCTGTAGTTCAAGCACTTGGGAGGCTGAGGTAGGCGGATCGCCATGAGTCGGAGGCTAGCCAGTGAGTTTAGGGCCAGCCACCTATATAGCGAGACACTGTCTCAAGAAACCAAAATTTTTTGGTCAAGATTACTTTTCTTACTTAAGTCTTTTTTTTTCTGAATAATTAAATGGTAGAAAGAAATTACTTTTCACAACCTTATAAATTGAGTTTTAGTGTGACAAGCAATTTTATATGGCCGTTTTAACTTTCTTATTGTAACACAACTGAAGAAGAGCTCATTTAATTATATCTATTAGTGTTGGAAACAAGGGGAAAGAGGATTGTTTTTCCAATTGAAGCACACTATCCATCAGTTTCAAACTTGTATATGTACAAGTGGGATAGAATGGTGATGCTTAATTCTCATGTTAGCTGGTCTTTGGCAGGTCTCCTGGTATTTTTGGCCCTGATCATTATTCACATATCTTATATACTTTGCTCTGAGTGATTTAAGTTGTTAAAGCACTGTGTGCATTTAGCCGTTTTCATGCCCATAGTTCAGAACTCTGCACGATCTCTGGATCTCAATGGATGGGGACCTAGCTGCAACAGTTAGAATTTGAGTCACGATTAAATTTTAGGGAGTCCTCTGTGCAGCTACGTTCACTAGGCTTGCCATGTGTACAGAGTCTTCTCCTAGCAGACTTTCTGTGTTTCTGTTGTTCTTGAATTAATAGCTACTTGCTTAGGAGTTACTTATGTATAGTACTTTATAGCTGGGAAATGTTCTTTCCATTTAGAGAGATTCATATGTTGGCTGGAGACCTCAGCTTAGGTGCTGTCCCTACATGCTGTCCTAATTTGAAGTAAAAATTGGAGGTCTGTCATAGACATTGGGCAAACTTTTTCAGTTTATTTTATCCCTTTATGTCTTTGAACTGCATTGGACACTTCAGATTCATAATACATTTTTTAGTTACTTTTTGTATACAATATGAGGTAAAATTTAGGTTTTATTTCTTTAAACATTAATATGTGATTGTTTCTGCATATTTTTGAAAAGACTTTACAGTATTTTCCCCTGTTGAATTACTTTGGTTTCTTTGTTGAATGACTTGGCACATAATGTGTAGGTCTTTCTGTACTTTGTTCTGCTGATCTGTGTATCTATCCTTACAACAGTGCTGCACTAAGATTTGTTACTGTAGTTTCATAGTAAGTCTTAAAATCAGGTAATATAAATCCTTACCTTTGTTCTTTGAGTTTAAAGTTGTTTATTCTAGGTAGGTCCTTTCCAGCTCTATTCAACTTAGAATTTGTGGCTAGTTTCTACAAAAAGCCTAATGGGATTTTCATTATGAATGCTTTTACCTTAGGGATCAGTTTGAGGAGAATTGACTTGTTAAGAGGATATGGAGTCTTCCATTGCATAAACTTAGCGTCTCTCCTCATTTAAGTCTTTGCTTTTTCTTAAGAGTGTTTTGTGATTTTCAGTGTAAAGATCTTACATCTGTTTCATTAAATTCACCTCTGTTTTATAGTTCATGTTATTATAAATGATAATCTTTAAAAAAATCAGTTTCCGGTTGTTACTAGCACATAGAAATACGGATAATTTTTCTATATAACTTTGTCATTTGTGACTGTGTTAAACTAGTAATTAGTCTAGTGGCCTTCTTGGAGTTCCTTCAGAATTCTGTGTAGGTCACCTTCTGTATGAATAGAAACTATTTTACATCTTCTTTTAAAATTTATATATCTTGTATTGTTTTGCTTTCTTTACTACACTGGCTATTAGTAGGTACAGTGCACCTTCCCATACTCCTCATGTTAGGTGAAGAAGTTTGAGGCTTTTAACCATTTTTTGCTGAATTTTTTCTTTATTGTGAATAGCTACTGCGATTTTTTCCCCCTACAACTACTGATATTATTTTTCTTTTTCTTTTTTTTTTTGATTTGTTAGTATGATCAGTTACAGTGATTGCTATTTGGAATGTTGAACCATGTACAGTATTTCTGAGACACCCACTTAGTTCTGGTGTGTTACTTTATACTGTATGTTGCTGTATTATGCTAAAATTTTGTCTTTTTTTTCTCATTTATCTTTAAGGTGTAGGTTTATAGTTTCCTCTAATATTTTTGTCTTTTTTTTTTTTTTAACATCAGGGTAATGCTGGATTTAGAGAGTGGTTTGGAAGGATTTCTTTTTCAGCAAATGTTTGCATAGGATGTGATTATTTCTTACATGTTGGGTAGAATTCACCTGTGTACTTGTGGGAAAGTTTTAAACTTTTGAATTCCATTTCTTTAATTGATATAGTGGTAATCTGATTTATACACTTCTTTTTGAGTAAACTTTATTTTTATGTCTTTCAAAAATGTGTCCATTTTATGTCACTTGTTTATTACCATGTTGTATAATCCCTGTTTTTTTAGTTTGAAAGATTTGTAGTACTATCCCCTCTTTTATTCCTGACATTTAGGACCTTCTTTTTATTTGCATTTATTTATTATTTGTATTTTTTTAGGTCTACAGGGTCTCACACAGATTGGACATGTAGTGGTCTTTCTGTTCTCAGGCTCCCGAGTATTGGGATCACAGGGATGTGCCACTGTGCCCAGTCTCAGTCAGTCTCAGCTTGTCCCGGGGACATGGCCAGCACAGCATGCTGGGATTGAACCCTGGTCCCTGTGCTCTGCCCAAACAGGTGCTTTAGACTGCTGATCTACTGAGCACATATTGTTGAATTTTTCTCTTGTCTGCATCCTGGTTATGTTTTATGTTCATTTACATACAATTAAAAGACTTTTTCTGTTGTGATTCTTTTTATTTTTCCTGTAATTCCATTTTATATTGTCTTTCTTGGCACTGGTACCCCTCTCTCTCTCTCTCTCTCTCTCTCTCTCTCTCTCTCTCTCTCTTGTGGAACCAGGGATTGAACCCAGGCCCTTGTGCTTGACAGGCAAGCGCTTATTCTACTGAGCTAGCTCCCCAGCCCCAACAAAGCTCTCTCTCTCTCTCTCTCTCTCTCTCTCTCTCTTTTGTGGAACCAGGGATTCAACTCAGGCCCTTGCACTTGCCAGGGAAACGCTTGTTCCACTGAGCCATCTCCTCGGCATACATTTCTTTCTCTACTCTTTTCACTCTTTATTTCTCTTTGTTTGGATTGAAACCATACTCTTAAATGAAATAAATTGGGCACATATGTGAAAGTGTAAATAAGAACCAAAATATATAATATTGTGAAATAGCAAGAAACAGTTCAAAAGGAAAAGGGAACAGGGGAGGGGAGGGGGGAAAAGAAAAAACAAAAGAAGGATAAAATGGAAGCATAGCTTTGTATTTAAGGAGGGCAAGAGGCTTGAAGTTAGAGGGGGATAATGGGAAAAAAGGAATCAACATATATCATGTACAGGTACAAATTCCCTGTGATGAATGTGGCCATTATGTGTGTATTAGTAAACTTAAGAATAGCTGCTGTTATTCATTGTAAACGAACAAACAAAAAAAAAGGAAGGAAGAAATAGATGAGGAAGAAAGGGAAGAAAGCTTATAGGAGTAAAAATCGTTAGGTGTGCAGGATGTGGTGGCGCACACCTGGAATCCCAGCACTCAGGAGGCTGAGACAGAAGGATCAGTGTGATTTCGAGGCTAGTGTGAACTGCAGAGCGAGATCCTATCTCAAAAACACCAAAAAAGAAAAAGTTTGTTATTGATGTAGAGTAAAAACAAAAACATCAAAAACAACAGGTAAATAAACTGTAATATTTAGGGATCTATGCCTATTTCAAGAAACAGAAAACCATAACCAACAAAGCACAAGAGTTTTACCAGAGTAATCAGGAAAGTAATCACCTTTTGAGTGAGGTGACAGAAGTGCTAATGATTATGGAGGCCAACTGAGTATGGGTTTAAGGTATTCCTTAAGTCACTGGGCATGGTGCATGCCTGTAATCGCAACACTCCGGAGGCCAAGGCAGGAGGAATGCTGCAAGTTCCAGGTCAGCCATGGCTACATAGTGACATCAGGGGCAGCCTGAACTTCTCAAAAAAAAGAAAAAGAAAAAAGAAAAAAGAAAACCTTAATCCATGTCCTTCTGTTTTCTGCAACTTTATATCTATTATGATTTATGATAAGAGAAAACCTACACTTTATATTTATAGACATTACATGTTAAA